TATATATATATATATATATATATATATATATATATATATATATATATATATATATATAGTGCAACTTCTGACATAAATCACCACCATATTCCTCCTCCTGGTGCAGAACAAGTGGACAAAATAGTGTTGAAATCAAACCAACCACTACCCCCCCAGAGGTTTGAGGGGTCACTGGACCCCAGTTTGGGAACTACTGGAAGTAGAGCCACTTCATTGTTCCATAAACCCATCCCCCTCCTTGGTCCCTGCCTAGACAATATTTTGCCTAAAGCCTTCTTAAAGGCACAGAGTGAAAAGGCAAGTTTAGTAAGTGTGAGGAAATGAATCACAAGTATGCATTTGTTCCGTTCTTACAGGACATGTGTGAGGTTAACGTACATGTGTGAATCAGAGCTTTTTTTTACCAGTATTGAAGTTGTTGTGCTCTTAACAGCTTAATGGGGGTACACGGAGGTTCTGGTTCACAGCCACACAATAACAGGATGAGAGGTGTTTTAAGAGGTGGTCAGTACGAACTGGGTCAGTTATGCTAACATGATAGATGGTGTCCGAGGAGGAGAAGACACGGTGTGTTTTGGACGTGCAGGGAATCAATTCTGATGAGTCTACAAACACTCCGTGAACACAACATTTAGCTCAGCAACGTTATTCACCTCTATAACCCGGTTAAAGGAGGTTTCAACCCGACTGAAAACAGAAGAAGAAGAGCGGGTGAGAACCTCACGTTAACCTGAAGCAAACTGGAGAGAGAAAAAACACACCATTCCGCTCACAAAAGGCTTTCTTTCTCGCAGCACACTTTTGACAAAAACATCCGTGTGTACACAGAGGTTATGTAATGAAATGTAGCAGCTCTGACCTGCTCAGACTCTGAATCATATTCCTCATCGTCTCCGCTCAATGACAAGGCCATGGCTCCTCTCTCTCATCGTTCGTGAACAGCAGAGAAAACTAACATGGCTGAACAAGCATCCAGCTTAGCGCACTCCCCCTCCCTCTCCCTCCTCCTTCACATCGCACCAACACAGGCAGCTGGTAATTGTGCTATGTTCATGAACCATGGGAAACACGGGGAACACCAACTTCCTGGTTACTTTATGCACCTAGTTACAGCATTTGGTTTAGCAAAAACAAAGAGTCGAGCAAAAAGTTGATTATACAGGTTTTTTTAAAATGTGAAATAGTGTATATGACAGTTAAGTAAGGCAACTATACAAAACTTGGCGCTTCATAGCGTCGCAAAAACCTTGGCATTCGTTGCACCGATTATTAATGTATAACTTGATAGCAGCATCGATGCAACAGGAAATGCAGATCAGCAGGAAACACAAGATGGTTCACTCCTACACACGTCCGTCTTAGCTTCTTCTGTTTTCGTGTGAAGTGAGTCAGTGTGAGTCCTGGGACAGGTTAAATTCAGGCCGTTGAATTAAATTACTTAACAAGATGTGTCATAAAGGGTTGGTGTCGGTAAGGATGGTTGCTTAATGGTGAAACATTGTAAGTGGTTTTGTCTGACTTCACCTGAGCAGGTTTCACCTTTTGAACACCAGACACAAGTACCGCCAATAATTCAAGAGTCTACTGATGTCTATTAATCACAAACATCATCATTGATTGCACAATATTTGCTGTTAGATGTTTAATTCAATGACTTTGATAATCTGCACAATACATTTTGTTCATTCTTTATATCTTGTTCAGATCTGATATTGATAAGACTTTAATCTCAACGTTATTGCTTCATTTAAGATCCAGTATACTTGCGTACAGAGCCAACACAACAACAAATGTGTCTCTGGCTTACTCAGGATTGGACTGCATGATATAATGATGATGATATCATAAGGAATTATGTAAAGCCATTATGCTCTTACTCTGGCGTCATCCAGTGGTAGTCTGAAGAATATGTTTCTGGCAGACAGTTTGTTTTTTTATAACAGAATTCAGTTGTATTACAACCATGTCAAGGAAGGTTATTAAAGCTGGTGTAAAAATAAAGTTAAACGGTGTAGGCCTATTTCGGGAATTAATATTACTGATTTTCTGTCTTATGCTGATATTTTGTATTACGAGCCATGTTTATTTTAAAGTTTTTAATGTTTATTCAGCAGGGCCCCATTTCAATTTTTTTTGTGAATTAATTGGTACAAATTTGTGCCACAAATTACGCTTTGCTTGTTCTGTTCTCTTGAAAAATCAACTCCGCATTAGATTGTTTCCCCTGAGATGTTCTGTGTTTGTCTGCCCTTAGGTAGTGGAGGACTGCTCACTGCCAATGGGGTACTCTTGCCTTGTTTACTCGTGGTTAGATGTGTGAACTCACACAGGGAGACTTGCAAAAACCTCCTAAATCTTACGGAAACAACCTTCAAGTGACAGCAGAATTCAAATTGCTCTAAAGTTTCCCCTGTGCTGCAGGAGCACCACAACAAAAACAAGCTTTTAGTTTTGTTGTGTTTAAAACTTCAATTTAATTATATGTTTGTATTTAAGCCTATTGTAAAATAAATCTATATCTATTATATTCTGGAGACAGTTTATATGAATGAGATTGTAAGTGATATCACTGTTAATGTAAAGAGGACACGGCAATAAAAAACAATTCATGGTGTCACTATTTTGGTTGTGGTGGTGTTCATAAAATACATCACCAGACTGTTTAGATTAATATATGTATATTTTGGCTTAATTGCTCGGATTTTCGGATTAATTCTAAACTGCAGGGTCAGTGTGAGCAGCAACGACAAGCCACTCGTAATTGCACTACAGTGCATGGCATAATTCGGGTGTATTTTGAGGAGCTACATTACTCGTAAATGAAAAGACAAACTTCATGACGAATAAGTTACGCGAGGAGGCGGACTGCAGCTCCGGCTGCTCGTGAGGAGCATTGGATTGTGGGTATCTTGTGTTTCCTGATAGACTGACGGAGTCGGTCAGCTGTTGCAGAAGAGTTTCGACATAGTTTGATAGCTGTCTGTGCTTAGCGTTACTGTTCATTTCATGCTGTACTTCATCGGAGCCAAATTCCCCGCGCGTGCCTTTTCCATCCGTCTACTTCATCGAGTGCAATTCTGTAAATCAATCCGGTTCATAACTACATATTTGTAAAAAAAAAAAAAATAACAGACAGTAGCCTAACTTGTAGCCAACTTTCGGAATGAGTTTGAACGAGCACTCCATGCAGGCTCTGTCATGGAGGAAACTGTACTTGAGTCGAGCCAAGTTAAAAGCCACCAGCCGCACTTCAGCTCTGTTGTCCGGATTCGCGATGGTAAGTTAGTTTTTCACTGGTTCCTGTTGCTCTGCAGCCTTTTTAACTGCATGGACGCAAACTCGGTTTAGGCCATCCGCATGAACTGAACGCATATATGTGACGCAGGTGATTGTTTTGCAAAGGCCAGCGGCGATCACGACACTTTACAGGCCTAATGACGGCTCCTGTGCGTTCATAGTTACTGTTTTTTATTACCGTCTGAATTCTGCACGGGCAGCGAAATTGAATTAGTAGGCCTACGTGAAAAAGACGAAGGTCACAATATCTCAAATAAACTGTGCACTCCTACGTTTTGTCATGCGTGACCTTGCACGAGATGTTTCTCACGGTGCACCAATGTTGACGGATCAAGACCACACTGTTTAAACTTCAGAGGGTTTGTGTGCTCTCCATCACGTGTGGGCTGATCTTCCGCCCTAACAACTAGACCGCACAGAGGCACTTTATTGATTAGTCTTTTTTTTTTTTTTTTTTTTTTTCAACGTACAATTTAATATATTGACATACAAAAAGTTTACAAATAGCCATATTTATTTCTGAAATGTAGTGTTAATGACTCAGATATATGAACCTTGCTCCACGTGTCTCTCTCTAGAGGCAACTCTTTAGTGACCATTTGCAGTTCTCTTTTGGCTTATCTGCATATAAGGCTTGACATGCATATAATTGATGTATAAATTGGTCTGTAAGCGATGCATTTACAATAATGCAGTTGCCCTGCTCTTATTGCAATTAAGGGGCCCTCAAATAGCTTTATGATAACACCTAGGTTTGAACTTTTGACCACGAGCTGCTATTTGGTAAGATTTAGGAGAAGCTGCCACATCTGAGAAGACTTTCATTGTTACATTTGATGTGATTGATTTACATAGTCCTTACTGTATGGTGGATAACAACTGGTAGAAAACTGAGTGATTTAAAGTTGTCTTTATTAGACTATGTACACATATACAGTAATATAAATATGACAGCCATGTCCATCGTGTTGCTAACTGATGCAGTCTGGTTTAAAAGGATTTCGGCAGTTGCACAGTCATATGTTGATATTCAGTCATCAAGTGGGGAAGAGATATTTTCCTTCTATGATGTTCCCAGGTTGCCATGGTGGAGGTACAGCTGGAGCCCGATCATCCGTATCCTCCAGGGCTGCTGATAGCCTTCAGTGCCTGCACCACAGTTCTTGTTGCCGTACACCTCTTCGCCCTTATGGTCAGCACCTGCATCCTTCCAAATCTCGAGGCGGTCAGCAATGTTCACAACCTCAACTCCGTCAACGAGTCTCCCCACGAGCGCATGCACCACCACATAGAACTGGCCTGGGCTTTCTCCACGGTCATCGGCACCCTCCTCTTCCTGACGGAGGTGATGCTCTTGTGCTGGGTGAAGTTTTTACCCCTCAAAAACACAGACGACGACAAGAGCATAAGTTCCGGTCAGGCCGCAGCCATTGCCTCCACCTGCATCATGGTGCCATTTGGACTCGTTTTTATCATCTTCGCCGTCCACTTTTACCGCACGCTCGTCAGTCACAAAACGGACCGGCAGATCAAAGAGCTGGAACAGGTCATTCAGCTCCAGAACCAGCTGGACCACAGGGGTGAGAATGACGACCTGAAGACCGCCATCCATTTCCCTTGATTATAGCCGGCTAGCACACAACTGCAGCGGACATTCAACAATGCCTTTATTGTGAAATCTCTTATAAAAGCTTTATTTATCATGTTTATGAACTGTGCTCCCATGTCTTTTTGGGGGGAGAATTGCAAGCTTGATCTGTCGAGCTTTTTAGCGTCCACCTGTGGCCTTATTACTGTCCCGTGGTGGATTGCATTGATTTCTCCTGTTTGCCTGGCTTTAAATTAGGCTTTGTAGGGCGCCTTACCAAGCCTTTCTTAGCAATACAGATGGACGACCCACTCTACCCACTGAGCCACAGCTGATAACCTTGAATATGAATTACTGAAATATCAATTATATTAGAATCACTGGCTAAATACACTAAAACCAAAATTAAGGAACAAGTTGCGTCCTTTTAAAACATTTACACGGTCTCTGTGCTGGTGCCGTTTTTATACACACGCTCATACTCACCGGACTGAAGGGTTGCTTGTAGGAACTTCCAAAAAACAAATGCAATGTATCAAACCTATAGTATTTTTGTGCAATCTGAGGCGAAATATCACTTCCTAAAAATAAACAAGGGAATGCTTTTAACCAAAGTGTCTTACTGCAGTGCAAATAGTTCTATAGCAAGGGTTTAATGACAACCAAAATGAGTTATTAAGGGCAGCATTTTGAGCCTGATGGCAAAGTCTGTGTACTCTTGTAAAATCAATCTCTGGTTAAAAAAAAGAGAAATTTTCTCTTTCACGCTGATTTTGTGAATATACTGTAATCTGTACACTTGTTACTGGCTTTTTAAAAAGTACTGTTGAATGTATTATCACAAAGCATGCACGTGTTGGAATTGTCGGGTTTGTATGTTTTGTACTTGTCATAGTTTACAAGCTTGAGCGTGTTGGCACGTTGTTTGGGTTACAGATTGTCTAAGTGTGAAATATAGAATGTGTTCTTTTTGTCCCGTGGCACATTTCTAAATAGCTTTACTTGGCTTTGACCATTTTCGGTACTTTTCTTCATCATCTTTACTGCTAACTTGGTGACAGAAACTCAAATAAGAAAATGTCCACATATTTAGAGCTAATTCATTTTCATCAGTTATTCTCATGTGACGGTGTCATGACATTTTCATAATATATCATATCCCATAGTTGTAACATACTGTAATTATATCATGGGAATGCCATGGTCATGACACATGCTCTGAGTCATTGTTATGTACAAGCTCCAAAATTTGCATTCGTATGGTCCCGACCGGATGATAATATGTCTGTGACACGTAGCAGAGAACAAGGAGCCATAAGGGGTTTGTGCCTGACAGACTGTTTAGTAAAATGGTCGTTACGCCTCTGCAAAGCACTGTTGGTGGTGTTTCTTAAAGACTTTTCACAAGGAATAAAATGAAGACATGGTTCATTCATGTGGACTGCACACACTCTGGAACACTTCTGATAGTAATTGCCTGACGCACCTTCTTTAGAAAAAGATCAATGCAAACGAAAGGCATTTTTCTTTGGTTCATTTTTTTGTGGTTTATTTATAGGTTTGTATGTTACTGTATATGGAGAGGTCCCACTGCTTGTGTCAATGCACAGCTTTATAATGTTTTATTTTTTAGTAAATACTGTGTTTTAAGTCTTGCATTTGTGTGATGTTTTACTATAACCTGGACTTTTTGTGGTGGTTACCGGTTTGAGAATAAAACGCATCTGAGATCATTTGAGTTTTTTTTTTATTAGTATTTGCTATTTTACTTTTGCATGTATTAAAAAAATGCCAGGAAAAACAAACCGAAGAACACTTTAATTGTATTGTATAAAATGTATTTAAAACTATGGCGTCAAAAGGAAAACCACACAGGAAATGTGTCCGGACATGCAGTTGAAGTGACATTGATGAGCGTGCATCACAACAAGGCACACAAACTCCTCCGCTCTCTGACTTTTTCTGACACTCTTGTCACCATTACTGTTTGTTTTGTTGCTTGTCTGAATAAGTCGTCCACATTTTCCCTGTATTTGGCTGAGCACTCTTAAGTAGCCTATAGCACGGCATTGGTTTTCCTTCTGGCCTCTTCTCCCTGTCAGAGTAGAGTTTTATTGCCACAAATTAATTGTGAATAAAAGTGTTTGACTTTTTAGTTCTATCCAGTGATTACACACTAATAGTCGATATCACTCGTTAAAAGTAATAATAATGATGTATATACACAGCAGGTAACATGAGTTGGGCCCATGAGCAGTTTGTGTAGCTTGATAGCTGAATATATGTGATGACATTCTGGCCCGATGACCAGAGTTACTTGATCAGGACTTTGTCTTGTTGTAAGTCTGCTCTGCACCCAACAAGAAAGGATGCACCTCAGGGTACCACAGAAAGATAGTATTGCAGTATTATTATACATAAACACTACACTATATATGTACATATATACAGTATAATACAATATTTTGTATATTTTGCACAATACAATACAAATTATAATACAAATATGACTGTGATATGTATATTAATATCAATATTCTTGATTTTATTCAATATCTATACATAGTCATCTATATATAAATATAATCTCCAAATAATCTGTATCTACTTTGTCACTTTTTCATTGTTTTATTGTAGTTGTAAGGCACAATTTACAATATTAAATTTAGGCCTACTTGTTGCCATTCGATGTACTATTCATGAATCGTCAACAAATGACTGTATTATAAACTCCCGAAGGTGCCTGGAGACACACCTGTCACCTGTTAATACGCCTTCCTCCAACGCTTCGTGTTCCTCCGCCTCACCGAAGGATCTATATTCCGTCTCTGTCTCCGGGCGGATGGATCCGATGTCCAACCTGTGCGGCTTAGTGTGAAAACACCGAAAAGCACAGCTGCTTTTCCACAATGTTGCTCCACCAAAGGATACAACTTTTGAACAGGTAAGCAAGATAAACATCGTTTTGTTCGACTTAACTTGAAGTGTTTTGACGTGTTCCATGTCACAACCAGGTTATCTCTTAGAGAAGGAGAACGTTACAGGTGATGCTCTCCATCACCTGTTGGGGCGTGTTAACCTGCAGTGAGCGAGAGCTAACAGCCATGTTTATCGCGCTATTGTGTCATATTTCCAAGGTTTTGACGAATGTGATGGAAAGCGAACAACAAACTACTGAGAGAGAGACACCGCCTCAGCACTGGAGAAGTTGCAAGTTGATGATTGACCCTGCACTGACAAAAGGACTGTACAAAGTGTACCGTTATGACGGACAACAGTTTAACATACCCGTGAGCATTATATTAATATCTCTGTGTTGTCTGTCTGTCTTAGATGAATTGCTTGTCAGCATATTTTCGCGCTATAATATTGCGCCAAACAAGCATGCATGTTTTCCATTATAGTGATGCGCGTTGTTTACATCAACAGGTGGAGGACTTAGGTCTGTTTCCTGTGGAGACCGTCAGAGATCCGCGGGTCTGCCGCCTGTGGAGCAAATGCAGCAACACTGACCTTTTGATTTCTAAATTGAAGGTAACATTTATAGACATCATGTTAATCATTATAGCAATACAGATACAATGATAACAATAATAATAATAATAATAAATGTTGTTTACCTATGTCCTTTCAGTTTGATGAATGGCATGTTGGCCCTGTTCCTCCCAAAGAAGTGACATTTTCCAGGTTGAACGACAATGTGAGGGAGACGTTCTTGACCAATATGTGCAATAAATATGGGAACATTGAAGACGTGGAGATATTTTACAATCCTAAGAACAAGAAGCATTTAGGGGTCGCAAAAGTCGTCTTCGACACAGTGCGGGCTGCAAAGGAAGCTGTTCAGCACCTCCATCAGACGTCAGTGATGGGAAACATTATTCATGTGGAAATAGATCCCAAAGGTAATTACTTAGGAATACCTCACAACTTTTTATGTATTGTATAAATATGAATTTAGCTGAATTTGTTGATTGATTGTAACATGCAACCTTCCTCAGGAGAGAACAGGGCGCGGTATCTCCAGCTCCTCTTAAGTGGTCTTCCTACTCCGTGGACGCTGCCAGTGGGCAGCAACGAGCGAGCTATTCAAAGCTTCATCGACAGTTTGCTGGTAAACATTTTACATCTGCTTATAATTGTGAAGTAATCATATATTCAATACCTATCAACCAGTTGAATTCATATTTATTTTAGGGATAATATTTCTCCGCGCTTATCTTGTGTCCTCTGTATTATCCATGTCTTACAGGGCAGCACAGCCACACACCGACGAGGGAGTATCTCCAGCCCCACCAGCATCGCCACACCCCTCTCTCTGGACACAGCCTACTCCAGTATTTGGCACGATACACCTTGCAGCTTTGGGCTTACGCCACGTTCTCAGGGAACCCCCCATACTCCTTGCTTGTCTGCAACTCCTCTCTCCCAGGACTCTTGTTACTCCAGCCTTCAGGCAACTCCAGTCCTCCAGGGGGAGCCCTCCACCTACAGTGTTCACAAACCTTTAAGGAGTGAGCTCTGCCATCGTAAACCTGCAAGGTATCACAGGGGATCTGGTGAAGTCTCAGATTTCAACTTTATTTTGAAACATTGCCAACCACAGGCCCCACACCCCCTCTCTTCCCAAATACAAACTAGCAGCCAGCAGCTTGCTCTGTGGGGTCACAATGCACAATCCTCTTCTCACAATAACACAGACGCTTCCTTTAACCTTGCATCCCCGTGTCAGGAGTCCGGAGACAATTCTTTTAGCATCGTGAGCATTAATTTCACAGTTGACCGGCAGACAGCGGCATCTTCCCCACATGATGACCGTGCATGCATATCAGACTTATCTCCATCTGCTGGTAACTGTTCCTCTAGTAGCCCCCAGCCAGAGGTAGAGAGTTTGGACTCACGCATTGAAAGTTTGCTGGTAAACAGTCAGATATCTGACCCTCCATACTTTGATAGAAAGACTTATGAGGCTGATGTGCACTCTCAGGACAGCCCAACTTCACCTTGCTCTGCCAATGCCTCCCCTCTCTCGGATGACTCGCTTGTTGGCACTCTGACGTCTTGTGACTTCACAACCGGCCACCAGCACTCCTACAGCGATCTGGTGGATGTCAGTCCAACACCACTCACTGAAAATGAAGAGGACGAAACTACTCAAGCTGTTTTGTTTTTAACAAGAAACTCAGAGACTCCATCTGATCTCACACATTTTGAGAGGAAGGCTCACGCAAACCACGAAAACGAGGAAGAAAGGCTCCAGTCATTCTCACGTCCAGAGGTAACTCCTCCAGATATTTACATAAACAAGTTATATGTTGGTATAGAAGTATTTATGTTGTGCCGCAAATTAGTGACTCATATTTGTTTGTGACATTCTCAGGATCATCATGCAGCAAATGAGAATAAGAAGCACTCAAATAACAGAACTTCCAGAGCTTTGACGCCTGCAAAACAGAGCTCCTCTCTTCTTCACCCTCTGTCGTTTTCTCTCAATAGCACTCCTCAACTCTCTACCTCCATAGCTCCTCCTGCCATTAAATATGGGTGCTTCCATCCACCAGTCACCCATTTCCCTTTCCCCATTCCTCCCTTTCCCCCATCTGTTCCACCTGTCCCACCTCGGCTGCCAAATGGCACCATCCCCATCCCACCTCCAGGTTGGATCCCACCTCCGGGCCATCACACCGGCATCTCCATTCCTCCTCCACCTTTTCCAGCTCCTACTTCTATTCCTCCCGCACCAACTTTTCTCAGACCCCCTCCAGGTTTGATGGTGCTGCCCTCTGTTCCTCCCCCTGTGCACACCTACCCCTTACCCATGCGTCCTGCACTCCCTTTGGATAAGGAGAATCCTCCAATGCATGGCGGTGCACCTTTACCGTTCCCTGGACCACCCTGGCCCGCTCCACATTTCCCCAGGTTTAACCCCTTTGTGCCACCCCCAGACTACCCGCTTGTGTGGGTAAACCCTCATAAGGTCACAGTAGACAAAGTTTTAGAAATCATCATGGATGAACTGAAGTCAATCATTAAGAAGGACATGACACGTAGAATGATTGAAGCGGTCGCTTTCAAGGCATTTGAGGACTGGTGGGACTGCCAAGAGAAGAAAAGAAAGGTAAGTTCTTTATTGTCTCATAGAATGGTTAATGAAATGAAGAAAAAAATGTCTGACCTTTTGAAGCCTATAGGTTCATTATTATTGTTGTTTAATTCACAAGACACAAGTATGTCCTTTGAAAAGTGGAGCAGCAAGTGTTGAAGAGAGGAACAAACGAATAAATCCCCCAAGTCACATCAGTGGCCAGGGCAAAAAACCTCCACTGCCGTCCTTCAAGGTAAACTATTGTACTGTTATATGAAACACAGCACCATGCGACAGCTGAGTGATGCATAAATGAATGTAATGGAAAATAACTTGTTATGCAGGTAAAAAGGAAAAGAGCCAATGATACTGCTACATCAGAAGAGATAGAAAATGGGTCGTGTTCGACTCACGAAAGCTCAGGTTAGTTTTTTTATTGCAATTAACCCTCATTTACTACATTATAACTCATTTGTCTCTTCTAGACTGTAGCTTGATCAACTGTGTTGCTCTCTTTCCATGAAGATGTGAAACAGGGGGAGGACAAAGTGAGACCTGCCTCTGAGAGAGCCAAACGCAGACATGCAAGACCACACGAGCTCGACAGTGATCATGATGATGAAGGGAAAGATGAAGACAACACACTTCAAGATGAAGAAACAACATCAGACAAAGTGGAGGCTGTTGTGCCAGTTGATGATGCTCATCAAAATCTGGTGAATAGAGATTTTGAACAAAAAGTAATTACAAACAAAGCCTGTCGTTCAGAGCCTGTCATTTGTTTTCAGTTCTTAAAAATACATCTGCTTTCAAATGAATTAAATCACATCTTGATCTATAGTCTATATGTTAAGATTTCATAATATAACTTGTGCTCTAATTAGTGTGACAGAGATGATGATGATGGTGATGATGGTGATGATGATGACGATGATGACGATAGTCACCCGGAGGAAGACAAGGAGTTCGCTCAAAAACACACAGAGGATAAAAATGCTGTCATCTTCGAAACGAGTGATGGAGTGCAGTGCTTAGGTAGCGGTACGTTAAAACGGTCATACAGTTCACACATTGAACACTTATGAACATACTTGTGAGTAAATATTTTATGTTTCTTTGTTACAGATACTTCTTCAGAGAGCAGCTCCTCAGAGGAAAGCGAGTCCTCGTCAGACTTTGACTCCTCTGACTCGTTCTCAGAGAGCTTTGAGGACTCGTCCTGCTCTGACCTCAGTCCGGAAGATGAAGAAATGGAGGAGGTGTGTATTGTCATATCGTCCGATGAAGAGTCGATGGAACTTCAGCCCCCCGTCACCCCCTCAGCCCCGCTAACCCCTGGAGCTCAGCTGGAGCTGGGCCTTCAGGACTGGTCAGGTCCATCTCATGAGGAGGAAACTGAGGAGAACCAGTACACATCCTGTCAACAGGACACCTGTGACTCGGATGTCATGATGGAGCTCCAAACTAGCGAACCTGAGAACCATCTGTCACCTATAGGACGTCCAGGTGCTGTAGATTAAAACACTTAATAATAACCATCATCAATATGTGTTAAATTAGTTAATAGTTATTTTACTGTTAACAAACAAGAAAATTATAATTTATAATCTTTACAAATTATTAGTAATATAGTATATGAATGTTATAATGTGTGTGAAACAATAAACTCCTAACACATAGTTTACTAATATAATCACAATGCAATTGTTATCATCTCCTGATCAGCTATTTTAGTTTAACTGACTATCAATTAACAGTTTGTAAATGATGGTTATTTTAACATGTTACTGTTTCAAGTAGATCTTATTTTTCTGGCCCCTAATCGGGACAAAATCAAAAGTAAAGGTTTAGGAGACATTGTTTGACATACAGTAGGTATGAAGTATTAATCCTCAATGTGCATGAATGTTATTACAGATCATTCTAGTAACTTTTAACAGCCATGCTAGCTGCTTTGCGAGGCTGTATTTAGGAACAGCGTTGCTTTGAGCTAAATGCTAAAAACCGGCATGCCAGTTAGCAACAAACACAAACTACAGCTGAGGCTGATGGGAACGTCATTAGCGTTGCAGGTATTTTTAGTAAGTAGGTATTGTAAGTAGATGTAAGTATTGGACAAAAACAAGTTATTACAATTCCTCCTCTGGTGTGTACACAGTTTCACGGTAAATTGTGTGAACAATGGAACAAACGTATTGAGAGAAAATGGTGGTGAAAATATGATTTTGTAACGTGTTCTTCTTATTTATCTGTGTAGCAGCAGAGCTACACCTTGATGTGGAGATGGAAAGCCCTGACTGGACGGAAGAGGAAGAGTCATCCGGGATCATAGAAAACCTGAGGCCTCTTACTCCGACTGGCTGCTTTCTGGACAGTGACCCTGATCTTCTGATGAGAAGCAAACCCACATCCCCTGAGGAGGAGGTGCAACAACCACAAACACCAGGCAAGGGGATAGTGGCTGAACTGGAAAGTGAGGACTCGGCCGATGAAGTCTTCTCCCTCTTTCCGACAGGCACCGAGCTCAATCTAGCTCCCTCTGATCCCCCGGCCTCGTACCCATCATACCAGGATATGCCCAAAACTCCTGGTAGAGAGGACAGACGTGGATGGACGCAGGATAATTCTGGGAGAGCTCCAGCAACACCGGGCAGAGGGACAACCATGTCATCAGGTAGCACAGTGATGTGCCCAACTCTTTGTAGCCCACCACCTGTGCCACACCTGTGCAATCCATATGTCACGGCCCCAAAGACTCCTGGAAGAGACATCGTCCTACCCCAAAGAGCCATAGTCCACAGGAGGAAAACACAAACGGGGACGACCTTTCAGCCCCCGTTATATGATTCTCTCGGAGGGTCTCCCATCTCAGTGTCCTCTCCATGCAGCCTCTCTTCATCCGACTCTGCCGACGAAAAGGGCACGCCGATCGATTCAGGTGTGAAAAAGAAGCCCTTGCAGGGACTGGAGAACATGCCTGGGCTCCTGGATGAGGAGTACAGCAGAGAGACAGAGAGATCCTCATTGAGGAGAGAACAGTGGAGGAGGCTAAAGAGGAGGTGGAGAATCCATCATCGGCGGAGATCGCTTAAAAGGTTGACTGGTTCTCTCACCTCTCACGGTCATCTTCACAGGTGGCGCTCACTGTGTGAGGAGAGGAGGATACTGCATAGTGTTTGGAGGGAGGGCCTGGATGAAGAAGATGAAAGGCTGCTGCAGTGTACATATGAAAGGCTGCAAGTGCGGGATAATGGCTTGGGGTGGATCAGTGACACCCTGTGGACATCTCACCCTCATATCCTTTTTAACAGAGTTTCATGTTGAAATTAAACGAGGTCAACAGGAGTTTACAGAAAGTGAACTGAGTAACTGATGACGTATTAATAGATTTAATCATGTCCAATACACAAATGGCTGAGATTAATTCCCTAATGTAATGTATTCTTTTTATCCTAATATCTAAGAAAAAAATCAAACCCTACCAATTAAACACAATACATCGTGGGGAAAGCCATTATAATGTTGTAGTTAAGTATCAAGTGTGCAGTTCTGTTGCATATTCCTTGGAAGGTTTGCTATTGAAACATCAATTTACACATAAATAATGAATTCAGATAAATCAGTAACCTCATGTGCTTGACACACAGTATTGTAAGTAATCTGTGCTTTACATCCTTAACTTGCTGCTCACTGACAAAGGTCCTCACGGAGAAGAGTGGGGAACATAAATCCTGGCAGCCAAAACACAGGACCGGCTCTGCTCGCAGTGAAGGATTCTACAAAATTAGCAGGAAAGATAAGATGAAAAACCTCAACAACGCAAAGCTGGCCTCTGAGCTTCCATCTACAAGTACTCAGGTATTAATGAGGGGAAACTGTGAGGATCTCTCTGCCCAGTTTATTCCATTCAGTGCTGAATATCAACATATATTTCAGCAGGGAATGTGCATCCCAGCTCAGCAACCGGTCTCACTGCGTGCTGGATCTGACTTCAGGTCTGAACAGCGTCGCCTGCTGTCCTCTTTCAGTTGTGACAGTGACCTGGTCAAGTTCAACCAGCTGAAGGTAAGATATTAGATAACTACACTCAACTGCAAAAACCCTGACAACAACACGAAAAAAATATTTTTATAGGAATTTGTTGTAAACTGCTAGCATTCCTAAACCGCATACTTTATTTATCTGAATAGAACAAAAACAACGGAACGATCTTTTATCAGTGTGCAAGTCAGGGTCTGTTTAACATAAATTTGATTATATCTCATTATATCTCTTATATATATATATATATATATAGCCATTGAGATGGTTTCATTTTAACGTGAATGTGAATGTTTGTTTTGCTCAAAACACTTTGCTAAGTCCCATGTCTGTCCATATGCACAGACCTTGTTGTGGTCAGTATTTTTTAGCCGATGTAGACGACAGTATTTGAATGATTACCTGAAAGGAGTAAACTGTCATGTCAGCATTTGCAGCAGTTGGAGCCCGTGTTAACAAATGGCCTTATTTTGTCACGATATACATCAGTTCCGAAAGAAGAGGATTCGTTTCACCCGGAGTCATATTCATGAGTGGGGCCTGTTTGCAATGGAGCCAATAGCAGCAGATGAGATGGTGATTGAGTATGTGGGCCAGATCATCAGACAGGTAAGACAAACTTAAACTAATTACAAGGCTTGGAAATAAATTCATACCCACCCTTAGTGAAAAATAGGGTTCATTATCGGATCATTTGAATGATATCTGCTCTGGGCGCATCACTGTCTCTCTCAAACACAAACTAAGCAGTGTTGGTATTGTAAGTGAAATATCCCTAATCAAATCGATATTGGGTATCAATGGCGATACTCGGCCCTAGTAACAAATTTCACTGATAAGCTTTTAATCCGCTTCTCCCCTGTTCGTTTCCCCTGACTTGGCCCAGTGGGCCACTGGGACCCACTGGTTATTCTGGGTACTTTCCCAGAGTGTGAGGAGGGTGACAGTGATAAACAACACACGCATGAATCGGCACATCTGTTTTCTTTCTCCTTAGGTCATCGCTGACATGAGGGAGCAGAGATACGAGGAGGAGGGCATTGGAAGCAGCTATTTGTTCCGGGTTGATCAGGACACCATCATTGATGCTACTAAATTTGGGAACTTAGCCAGGTTTATCAACCACAGCTGCAACGTGAGTATAAGCTGCGGTTGGAGATGAAAGTGATTAAAGATAAGATCAAGGTTTGTTGAGTAAAATCGTTAATGCAAAATACACTTTTTTGTCTTGCAGCCCAACTGTTATGCAAAGATCATCACTGTGGATTCTCAGAAGAAGATAGTGATATACTCCCGACAGCCGATAAGCATCAATGAAGAGATCACATATGACTACAAGTTTCCCATCGAGGAAACAAAGATTCCTTGTTTGTGTGGAGCAGATAGCTGCCGGGGCTCCTTGAACTAATCTCTAAGGAAGTGTTGTGATTGTGACGCCCAGAAGATGTGTCAAAAAAAAAAGCCATTTTAATACTATTCAAAACTGTACAGTCTGGAGGCCTTACAGGAGCTCACTGATGAGTGGTGGTGCTGCTCAGCGAATAATGGTTTAATAAACTGTCCTAAACAGCATGCAAGACAGTAATGGATTATCAATGGAGGTCCAGCATGAAATCATAGTGTGAAGTACTGGTTACCACTGTACCACAAAACAAAATCCTCATTTTCTGGTAAAACATTACAAAACACAACATTTGGATGTAAATTAAATAAATACAAAAATGCCTTTGTTGCAATGAAAGGTCTGTTGACCTTCTGGTCCAAATGTCCAAACTGAAGTGTATAGTTAAATGTTTTCGTTTATGAGAGCTTATGTTGTGTTTTTGCTTGAGTCAAGCTTGTATCAATAAAATTAGTTTTCTTGCGAACATTTTATGAAAAAAGAAAGTGTTGCATTATAATTAAATGGGGATTAATAAACAACTCATTAGGTGATCTTTCATGAACATCAGGAGAGATTATAATGAAGTACTTTTTGACAGATAAAATATATATCACATTGTAATAAAAAAATGCAAGTCACAAAAAACAACATGCTTTGCACATTATTATTGTGTATCTCACAATATCAAAGCCTTGATGTAATACTCTTCAACAGAAAGTGTCTTTTCATAGTTAATTGATAGTTATTTAGACTTTCCGTAACTGTAAAGCAATTGCAAGACGGGGATCACATGTTCCTTGAAACTCCATTTGCTGTCAGGATCGTCAGATTTCCCCGAGCATTCTGGTCTGCTTCGATGGCCTCAAAAAGAGCCTTGAAGTTTCCTGCACCGAAGCCCTGTGGATTAATCATGCGTTTAAGTTGCGTTTTGGCAGCAAAGTGAGCCCTACTCCAAGCCCAGATGTTGAAATAGAATAATGTGCTGTATACTTCATATCCCTTGTAAAGGTTATCTATCCAGTGGCGCCCTCACCTGGTGGTTATGTCTCTGAATGACTTCCAAGAACACAGTGGGGCGATCCTGAACCGGCTTAGTGAAGATCTGAAGTAAATAGCCATTGTCGTCGTAGTCCACCAAGATCTTCAGTTCCTGGACATGAGTAAGGTCACAAGATACAAATTAATAACATTGTAATTAATTTCTCCACTTGTTTTGGTAATACTGAATAGCTACATGTGTTGTCATTTTGTTTGCTCATTACAGCAGTTGATGCAAATTATGTTCTCAGACTCTACAGTACAAATACCAAACACTTAACAAAGGAGACAAACAATACAATCAATGCTTTGACCAAACGTAACATGATGTTCAAATGTGTTCAAATACGATCTTAGATCTGACCTGCAGAACATCGAGGTCCTCTGAGATTTTGACCTTTGACTCTTTCAAGCTCTCCCTGAGTTGGTGGTAGTAGGTGTCTGGCACACACATGAACTCCATCCCACGCTCTTTTAGGTTACGAATCTACAAACAAGGGATTCATCAGAGATTTATTGTCGCTGTGTTTTGGAATGCATCCATAAGGCCAAAGTGTCTTGTAGACTTACTGCAGTGATGACATCTGATGTGTTCATGGCTATATGTTGCACTCCTGGACCTCCGTAGTACTCCACATATTCCTGTGAGTGAAAATGTAGGGAAAGGATTACCTGTTATTTAACCATTATTGTGCAAGTAAATTGTTTCTAGTCCACATGTGAAAGTGTAAAGAACATTGCCTGGATTTGAGACTTTCTCTTCCCCATGGCAGGCTCGTTGATGGGCATTTTCACAGTCTCCTCGTAGTTTGCCACAACAATGGAGCTCAAGGCACTAAACTCTGTCTGAAGCTGCTTGTCATCTACCGACCAGAAGCGGTGAAAGAGAAGGTTTCTTTGATACCTGTTAGATCACAAACCAGAGATCAAGAGCCGCAAGTTCAAACCTCATATGGTGGGTCAAACAGGTCAAATCATTTGCAATGTTTAGTGTGTTTTACTGGTCAACACACAAGTTGTATTTTAATTCTTTACATGCCAAGAACTGCTGCTATTATTAGCTCATGATCTAAATTGGAGAATTGCAGTCTGTTAAACATGAATGAATGTTTTTCTTGGTTAAGAGCCAGTTCCATCAGGTTCTTCCCATTCGAAAATCTCCAGCCTAAGTTACTCTCTCCTGGATCAACCAATGAGCTTGCTCATTAAGAGAACTGCCCTTCCCCGCCTTTTCTGGCCTATATGATGGGGTCAAAACAAGATCCAGATGTGGAAAACTACTGGAGAGCCACTGAGGAAATGCAAAGTCATGCTGATCACTGACTCGTGCCGAGCAGAGTTACGTAAGAACCAGACACACTTGGACTCCTCTTTTCACCCACTGCTCTGAAGAGCAATGTTGTTATCACATGTGACACACAGCATGCTAAACTCTCTAAAAGATGAGCAGTTGATTAGTTGATAGTCTTTTACCAATCCACCACTGGGACCATCTCATCATGCGATTGGTTTCCCACAACGTGATCAATGAAGTTCAGTTTTCCACTTGGTCTGCATGGAAGCCAAAGCACACAAACATAAGCTGTTGTTCCGTCTTCATCGTCTTATAAACATTATAAGGACTTATGTACACTCACAGTTTGGCTAGTAAAGGATCCTTGAAGTCAGGGAGCTGGAAGCCTGGCAGAAACAACCCACTGTAGCCGGCCCTCTCCACAAACGTGTGTGTGGTGTCACCATACTGCAGCAAACACAAGCAAGTCTCCAATTCTGGCATTTTTTCTCAATCGATATGGAAAATAAATGTTCAATGTAAATTCATAGGATTCATACTTAGAGACTTGTCTTACCGTTTGAAGCACGGCCAGCCTGACTTTACCATGCTTGTCCTCCAGGGTGCAGGGCTCCTTTACAATAACTGCACCTCGCTCTCTGGCTTTCTGTGAACAAGGACATTTGGTAAGTAAAAAATATGACTTTAATAGCATTCTTTCACAGCAATTAATTATGAACTCAAAAGTATATAGTGCTTTAGAAAACAGCTAAGAATTCACTTAAATGGAAAACCTGTTTTGTTACCTGCACAAGGAAGTCACAGTCCTGCACTGTAAATGCAACATCCTTCACCCCATCCCCATGTTTGACTAAATGATCGCCCATCTCTGAGAAAATATGAGAAAAATGTTTTTTTGAATGGACAAATAAAACAGTGACTGATCAAACCATGTCATAGTAAGTACAAGTTTGGTTTGCCAAAATATGAGTGATTTGTATTGTGGCAACTCCTTTTTTTGCTCTCTCAAACAAATGTGTTTTATATTCTTAGAATTGTAACTTAAAAATTTGTTGATGAAAATGTACATTTCAAACTTAAAAATTATAGTTTTGTATTTATTAAGTATGTATGGTTGATTCTGACATGTGACATTTTGACAAACACAAATAACTACTTCAGCTATAAAAGGCTACGTACCTTTGTTTCCAGGATTGAGGGCAGATGAGAACACATAAATGATCTGTGAAATACAAATCATCTAGCATCAAAACATGACCCTCTCCTTCTCTATCATTTGATTTGCAAAATCACAATTTGAGTCCAATATAGCTATTTATTTAAAGCTAATGTTACAATCCACATTACTCAAGAAAACTATGACATTTTGAGATCAGTTGTGTAATTAAACAAATTTCTTTTACGTATACTCACTAAAAGTCAAATACCTGCAGAATACACTGTTTGTCATTATTGTTTTGTTGCACTAAAATAAATCTTGCTGATTGTCTCATGTGTGCGCTGTACTTCCAGGCACTGACGATGCTTTACCTTTCCTTGTTTGACGACATGGGACACCACGTCACGACTGTCTGTCTCCAGACCCCGGTAAACCAGAGGCTCAAATCCCAGCTTGTTGCAGTAATATGATGCAGCCTGTTGAAGACAATGATTTATATTCAACAGAAAATCATGGCAATTTCTCTTAAATGTTACAGTTAACTGAAATTCGGCATGATGTCCACATATTGGCCTTAAACTCTCTGATAGCACAGTCTTCCTTGCAATAATTTTGGAGAGATTGTTTTTGCTGTCTGCACTCAAGTTGCATCACATGCATGTCACCTGGGGTTTTGCATGCCTTGTCCCCTCCACCCCTCAGGACAACCAATTACCTTTGTGTAGTCTACTCCTTCATTTGTGTGAAAGTTGGTCAGAAAAAAAAAAAAGATATGTGTCCGAAAAACTGGACACAGAGCAGTTTGAGCTAACTTACCTGTTTTGCATTTCCAACCCAGAAGGTTATGTGATCAAAGCAGAGGAACCTTCCCTGCTCATGCTAAGGACAAGAACAAATATTTAGCTTTTGTCATATGTAGTCAAAACATTCCCCTAACGGGACATGTGGGAGAAAATCAAATAGAAGGTTGAAGTAAAAACGCATGTTGAAAGGGAAAGACACTCTATAGAAAAATGAACACAAACTAAAGTTTTATCAGCCTACCTTTTCGCCTTTATCTGTGTATGTTGTCTATAATTTAAAAAAAACATCAGGACGTCATTGTATTACAAAGAAAAGCAAAGCCATGCTGAAGTACATTGACAGATGTTATGACCATGCAAACACAAGGTCTCTTTATCACAGTTAATAATAAGATAAGAAGTCATCTGAAAATTACAGTGAAATGTAACTCACCATCTTGCTCCTGGTGACCTGACTGTCAGAATGAAATCAGCAGTGAATCTCTGAATTTAAAGAGAAGGAATCCACTTCTAGATTCACACCCACCGGTGAGGAGGAGATATTTGAAGAGAGGGAGGAGGAGGAGGGATTGTATTGATTCATTTTTCCTGTTATACGATGACTACTTGGGAACAAATGTTGAAATACCACAGGTCTCATTATCACTTAATGCACTGACACTCATTTTGTTTTGCATATTTAATATCGTCCCTTCATAATCCCTCCTAAATACAAAACAACTTTTTCACATAGATTTAGAATTACAGAAGTGTTTTTCCCCCAGAAGGCAGCCATATGTTATTGTTTAAGTGGAGAGAGGAGGTTCGCTCATGGAGGACTCTCATTGGCCCGCTGTGGGTGAGCTGTGTGAACACAAATGCCCCCCTCTCATTGATCCTCCTCCACGTATATCATTCCAATCATTGTGATTATTTCAGTTAAAGAGTTACAGAAAAGAAAGCAAAGCTATACTATTGATACTACAATCCATTGGTAGGGATTGAACTCTGTTTTTGTGACATTATAGGTTGAATTCATGGATTCCAGCTCTTCCCAAAGTGCAGCTTATTTCGTGCACATTGTTGCACAAAAAATACAACAGTGCAGTATCTGAAAAACTGTATGGAATCAGACTTTACTAATTTATTATACTATGTCCATTATGACATATGTGAACAAACGACAATATGAAGATAATATGATAAGTTATGTTGAATTGTAATTTGAAAACTAGAACATATTTTTACAGAAAATACATCAAATACATGCACAACTACAACTTGTAGCTGCAGAATTACAGCCTGCCATATACAGTAACAGCACTTTCTTTGAGAAAAAAGAAAAAGTGCAGGTGTAGTGTTACATCAAATTAATTTGTACACATTACATTTTAAATGCTTTTGTATTGATTTGTTAACATCGTAATAATTCATCACACAACAAGACACTTTTTTTCTGATAGCTCAGTGTGCTTAAATCATACAACACAAATTTCAGATTTAAAAGAAGCTAAGCAGTGTTCACACTGCCAGCACCGGTCTCATGCCTTGGTTAATAACTCAGATTATTCTATTGTAATAATTCAACAACTACTAGGTTTACATTTGTCATGTTTGGTATAATTTAGCTTCTCTTACAACCTTCCAAATCTGTCATCAGCTATGTTCCATTAATTCTAAAAATGTAAATCAAAATAGTATTTTCAAATATAAAAAAAGAAAGAGTGATGGTGCAAAATCTCAGAAGTTAATGATATGCAATGACTTAACATATGAGTGACATTTATAACTTTAAAAGTAATCTGAAATTGCCCTTTTAATGTTGCTGTTATGCAATTCTGATCAACATTCATATTTGTTCAATAATTTCACCTTTTATTTATTCCAAGTGCCCATTTATCTTACAGTATCAGAGTTTTTATACTTTGTTGATATAGTTTGTCTGTGGATATTTTGTCTCTGTTGTGTTTTTGTTTAGTTGTAGTTTTAGGTACTTGTAAGGATGTCTGATATAATATTACATCATAATAATAAATAATCTTAATAATACCTCTTACAGCTTGCCACCGATACCCCCTTTGCATACAGACTCCTGTATTCTATCATTAAATGTGTCCTGATTGGAGTATACTAAAAGTTTTGGTTTTACTTAGTTACAAAGTAGCCCCTCAGTATGTCGTGATTATGTATAAGCTTTCAGATTTGACCATTGACCTGTGTGGAAAAGGCAATAACTCCAAACACAAACTTCTTCCACAAAGTGTATGGAGTCTGAACATCTAGCAAATCAATATATAGTCTAAGAGACTTGTAAAGAAAACTGAATTGTAAAGTGTGGCCAGTAGCCTATTCCTGAAACATATTTAGTCAAGTCCTCCATAGAGCACGTGTTGAGCAGCTTTACTAGAGTAATACATGTTTGTTAGTTGTGTGTTACAGCTCCACATTCCAGTAACAGCTCACTAATGAGAATTCTGAGCCCACCTCTCATTGCTCACACTGCGACTATCCCTGAAGATCTTTGTTTTTCATGCTGTTACCAGGAGGTTCATTGTCATGGGATGCAACTACACGCATGCAGCCAGAGGAACACAACGTTTATTGTTTATTAACTGGATCCCCATTAGCTGAGCGATAGCGGCCGCTAATATTCCCGGGGTCCACAGAAAGGACAAAATATAACACATACAAAACATGCAAAATATGATGTGAAACAAACAGTTCAACACAGTACAGTCAGAGTAATATATTTCTTTAAATAATAGCAGCTGTTATAAAATATTAATAGCTGCTTTACATAACTACATCTATTTAAATTGATAATGTGATATGGGAGGTGTAGAAGTAGTTCTTCCAGCCTTTTAATAGTCTCATTTAATTGAAAACTTTTGATAGATTTAATATTTCAGCTGGTTGAACTTGCATTGCTGTTGTCTCACTGCAGTGTTTTAAATGTTACCTCATACATAATGCTGCATTACGCTAGACTGTAGGCTTAAATCCCGTGGTATTCAGTCTCTCTAAGGACAAACTCCTCAGTGAATCAGGTCCTTCCCACACCAGCACTACCCACATTAGTGTCGTAGCTCAGTCGAAGGGAACAGAACAGCTGTCAAGACAAGAAATAACAATGAGCGAACTATCATCAAAACTAAATCCGCAAATACTATTGAATGGTGAACAACAGAGGCAACAGCAGGAGGATGCTGCTACAATAGAAGGGCAGATGTCCTCTGTCGGTCTGGAAGATGAATGTTTGGAAGACAGCGTTGCTGCAGAAAAGGAGACACAAGCAAGGGTGCAGTCTGTTTTCCAACAGGTACGTAACCAGATCAGATCACAAGTGGGTATGAAGGCCCCAAAAAGCAGCATGCTGGAGCTGGTGCAAAGAGTCAAAGACAGAGAAACGGAGATTGCACAGGTGAACGGAGAACCTGAGGGCAAGAATGTCAGCAGCAAGGAGAAGAAACCAGCCGAGATGCTGACTGATGAGAGCAAAGATGGGATGGATCTAAAGGAAGAGGAGCTATGTGCATTTTTTGAAAAAAAGCTTGAGGTGGGTAAAAAGGCCTTAAAGGTTGAGTTTGAAGTGAAGATTTCTCAGGTGCGCAAAGAAATGCGGGCCTACACTGACCAGTCTCTGAAAGAGTTGGAGTGTAAGATGCAGAGCTGGCAATCCCACAATCTACAACATCGCAAAGAGCAGCAAGACAGCAAAGGTCCAAACAAGATACAGAAGACTTCAGCAGCTCCGTCTCTGGCATCCAGACGAGGAAGAGTCCTGACTCGGACCATGACCACCATCATCCCTAAAACGTGTGCCCCAGTCATCATGGGCCCACGCGCCAAATCAGAGACACTGAGCTCCTCGAAGGGTGCAAGCTCTCGACTCCTACTGAGGGATCCAGTGCTCTCCCTACCAGTCAACAAGCTTTGCCAGAGCCGCAAGCCGCTGCTCCCAGCTTGCCCACCACTACATCAGCACAAAAAGGTTGTCCGGCCGAAAGCTAAAACAGGAAACTGACTCAACTCGGGAGATAAAAACGGAATAATGATCGTTTAGGCAAATGTCCTGAAAGCAAACAAAGCATTCAGGTCAAAATTGTCAAATTTTTGAATGGAACCTCTGTTATTGCTTGTTGATGACTAATGCTGTACCTGCTAAACTGCTGTCCAGTTTATGATTTGCCAGAGGCGCTGTTACTACTACAGCACTTTCAGCCTGATTACTAACTTTATGTAGAAATTTTAAAAAAAAGTTTGGAAATAACAATTGTAATTGTAAAAAAAATAATAAAGCATATTGTGAGAGTTTGAAAAGAGATTCCTCATTCACTTTAATACAGTCAATGCATTTTTGTGCTTCAGCTGGTATTCCCCAGTCCTCAACAACATCAGTATCTTAATTTATAACACAGGCACTGTAAATAATATTGAAATTACTCACAAAAGGACTGAAAGATATTGCTTTAATGTGTTAAACTTACTTAAAATTTAACGTCGGTCCCATGAGTGTTACAATAATCTCATTGGCATACATCTGATGAGCAACCAAGTGTAAAACAAATTACATTTATTAAATTAAAAAAAGAAAACATTTGCTTTAGTACCCAGTGTGATGAGACGCTTTACCCTTGAGGACACATATTTTTGGTAATTGTACAATCTGACCAACAGATGGCAGCAGTTCATTTATATGGAATCCCATTCAGGTTAATGTCACCTTGCTTGCAGAGAGTGATGAAGCAGTTTTATAACTTGTTGTAGCTGCAGTGGAGCAACTTGAAACTGTTTTGTAATTAATGGGTCGTCATGTGGAGCGCTAATATAAAAAGCAGAAATGTGTGTAACACCCTGAATAATGATTGGAAAGGCTTGTGTCATTAAACAAGCTGTACAATATAAAAACTGTGATGGGACAGTGAGGAGTACTTGACCCATGAAGTCACTAATTTGAAGTGAGAGATCAGCTGGAAGGTGAGGTAACCTCTTCCCTTATTAAATGCTGCGGTCTGCTGCTGCTCCCCAGTGGCCAAGCAGAAGAGGACTGCTGCTGTTCCGGTATAAGATACCTGGAAAGATGCGTATCTATGCTGAAGAGATGAAAGGGGGCATCATGCAAAGGGTGCGAAACCATTTGACTCCATTTTCACTTTGATGTGACTTTTTAATTAATTAATTTGAATTATTTGAATAATTTCTCATCATGATGCTGATTCTGCACGGTCAGGACAGACTAAATGTTTTTATCTGTCAATTTCTTTCCTGCAGAAAATGTGCCATTTCTTGCTTCTGATGAGGGACAAAAAGGGTTAAAAACAGCAAGTACTCGCTCCCTGTTTATGAAGGTGTTACTTGTGCAATAAAGGTGATCTGCACCCTATCATTTACGTCTGATATTTACTCATGCAGACCTGAGCACCTGAGTGCTTCCAGCAGCTGAACTGGCACTGGGACCAGTCAGTGACAGGAGATGCATTTAGCCCTGAAGCAGGCACAGGAGCCGTGTGGCTCGAGGCAGGCCCTTCTCAATGGACGGGATAGAGAAGGATGTGAAGAGGATCTTTGTGTATAAAGGATGATGGGCCCTGAGCGACCATATCCGGAGGGGACGAGAGCCCACCACATTCAGGTCTGGCCAAGCCACGCTGTCCACGGAAGCAGCATCTCTTGCCTAACGATATTCTCCAGCAGCAGGGTTCATTACTATGCACCATGCAGCTGGTTCTTGGCTTTCATAGACAGAAAGATAGATAGATAGATAGATAGATAGATAGATAGATAGATAGATAGATAGATAGATAGATAGATAGATAGATAGATAGATAGATAGATAGATAGATAGATAGA